TTGAAATTAAGCATTGTCCTTTCATTGTGGTATATGAGGTGATCAGTAAGACAAGAAAATTACTTTTTTTCCATACTGGCATCAAGTCAGGGCAGCAGTAGCTTGATCGAGTGATTTGGAACATGAAACTGGATTTTGGGAACCTCCTAATTTCTCATGAAATTAGATGTTGGTGTAGCAGATATGCTAGGATAACTTTCTTGATGGTAACATGAGTATTGGAAAGCATTCATTGTTTAGGAAAGATGGAAAATAAAGTTTGAGGGATAACATTTTATTTTTGTAATAGATGAGGGATAAAAAAAATGTTACGGAGTTCAGGTTTTTTAACAATCCTGTAGTGATTTTTTAGGTGAACTTCTGGGTTACTGCTGAATCTGCTGCAGATACGCAACCTGATCAGAGTTGTCACTATGAGTACACTTTAACATCTAATGCAAGATGAGTGTCTAGATCTCCGTTGATGTAATAAGAGCTTAGCCAACACAGTTACTGAAGCCTAGAGGACTATTCATTTCACCCTGAAGTAGACACCTTACAATTAGGAAACTTTAATCAGATGCTGAATTGTACCCTTTTTTAAGGGTGGAGAACTGGTGGAGAATTTTGACCAGTGACAAACCCAGGTGCTTCTGAATGTAATAAGAGATACATGAGATACTAGGCTACTGTTTAGTAAGTAAATATAACACAGTATTTTAAGATTGTAAAGGAAAAAAAGCTTGATTGTAGAAGGTAAGTTTGGGTCATTGATGAAAAGGCATTGCTTTAAACTTAGAACATTACGATTGTAATGAGAGGTAAAAACAGATCAATAATGTAGCTTCTCTCCTTCTAAAATTACAGATTTGGATAAATTAAGGGAAGTAGTTAATGGAATCAGAAGGACTGAGTAACAGAGTCTTCAGTATTGATGAGGAATGGCATTTCCTCCGAGTTCAGCCATTTGGGTAGGAGTTTGTATACCATGTGAAGGGAAAATAGTTTTTTTGACACAGGAATAGTGATAGATCTCATGCTTCTGGACTTTGACAAAATTTTTATTTATTATAGAGGCTGAGGCTAGTGGAGATTGCTAGAATTGTAAGACAGGTAAAGAATGGATTGAAAGAAAATGGCAGTGGATGTTTTTGGAAGAGAAGATATTGAAAGCCATAAGTGGAGATCCTGAATATTAATCTTATGTTGTCATTAAGAATTTTGAAACAGAAACCAAGTATGTTCTGACAGACAAATGAGGGAGACAAGCCACTGAATTCACTGAGGAGCAGAATAATAAAACTGGAGGGATATTTAGTTGTGTAAAATGCAAGGTCATGAATGAGAAATATTGGAGCTGGAGTCTGTTAGTTGGAAATGACTGTCAGTCGGAAAATAAGGGGTTTTTTTGCTTTAAAATACTGGGGAGGCTGTTGATGGCAGAATTTGATCTAGAAGTATATAAGAGAAATATAAAGTGTTGGTATCTTTAGAGTAGACTAACTTCCAAGAACCTGTGTGTATTGTTTTTAAAAATTTTATTTATAATTTGGATTATCAAATCGAGTACATAATTCTACAGCTGCTTATGTGTAGCAGTGTTTCTTGCTGGCTGATATGCTACATACTTGTGCAAATGAAAACGCATGTACAAGTTTGAAAATGGTATTTGTGACAGAGCTGTCAGTGTGCTGATTAAAAAGACATTGTTTTCCTTTTGTTTACACACTGAAAATAATCGTGTGAGTCTTCACATAACTTCCTGTGTTAGCGTCCCTGTATCCAGGCTTTGTCATCCTTCAGGAGACATAGTTTGAAGCAGTGACCATTGCCAGCAGCAATTAATATAAGAGAAGAAAGCAAGATGAGCCTTCCCCATTTGTCGGGACTTTAGGGTATATTGCTCCATCTGCCACAGGCCAGCTTCAAACTCATCTAATTTAAACTTACTCTAGATCCAGCGCAGTCTGGATTCAGGCCAGGACATGGAACTGCAGCGGCTTAGTGACACAGACAGATGATCTCCTACTGTCAGTGGATAGAGGGCAGTCATTAATTTTCATTCTCGTGGCCCTTTCTACAGTGCTTGATGCATCTGGCCAGAAGTTGATGCTGTCTTGCCCGGAGGGAGTGGCAGGGTCCAAAGTAAAGTGTTAAAGTGGCTTGGCATCATCCTGGGAGATTGATCTACAGAGTGATCTACAGAGTGGCGATGTGCTCATCATTTGGAAGGGTTGCCAATCATAAAAGGAAATTAGGAAATTGAAAACGGTATCTGCAACAGGGTTTTGTTGTTGCCTCTGCGTCAGCGAACATATTAGTGATGCTAATTGCTATTCTGAGTTGGGTAATGCTTATTTGTGTGGGAGGGCAGCACTTTCACAAGACTGAATTCTAGGCTGAGTAATGAACTCCCGTGGGAATGGAGAGCTGCCGTGTATTTTGTGCTTAGAGTTGATGATGGAATTTCTTACATTTTGCATTCTTTAATGTGATAATACAGACACAAGCGTATTTAAAAAGGGGAAAAAAAAAAAGCAACAACGACAATACCATGTCCAAATAAATAATCTTCTTTGATATAGACCATCCAAAGAAATACTGTGAGGCAGAGAAAGATCCTATAGGAGCTGAATTTTGAAGCTTCCTTTAAAAGAATATTTCTAATCCATTTGCTACTTGTATATTTTTTTCAGAAAATTAATTTTATGATGAACTCAAACTCAGAAGATGAGGTCTTAAAGTTTGAGGAAGCTGTGCTATATTTTTTTAATATACTTAAGGTTTAAAAACTCCTATAAATCACAAAATTAACATACATAACTTATTGCTAGCATAGTTGCTGGGATTTTGGCTGAGGGAAATACGTTAAACATAGGTAAGGCACATCATAAAATTGAAGGTGGCAAAACTTCTGTGAACTTCTAGATCAGTTTCACTGTAAATGTGTTTTGGCAAGCACTATGCTGAATGTGAGGTATTGTGTTGGGGAGTATTTTCAAAGCTGGTTTTGTGAATCCTAATAAGCTGGGAAAGAGGATAGAGGCTGCATGCTCTGATGGGTACAGTATTGGATTTGGAGCTTGGGAGACAAAGTTCTATTCTTATTCCTGACTCTGAATGACTGTAGGTTGAGAGAGACCAAGTAATTTGCCTTATTTTGCCTTAAATAATATTGTCCTGAAATCTACTTTCAAATTTAATGGTGAAAAATACTAAACATCCGCATAAAGAAGAAACCTCAGATTTTAATTTATCATTTTCAATGTAGCTCAAGTCAGCTTCAGAATTGTGTTAAAAAAAACCCAAAACACCAACAACAAACCACAAAAAAATCCAAAATGAAACAAAAACCCACCACCACCAAAACAAACTAAACTAAAAATGGAAGTTTAATAAAATCATTCTTCTAGCATATAATTTGGGACCAACTGATGTGGACTGCATTAGCAGGATATATGTGAAGGCAAATGAGCCCTTGAAACAGTTGCCTTTATTTGGATGTGCTAAAAATAATTGATTTCTGAAGAGAAAACTTTTCGAGATGTTATTTGGTGGTTGACTTTTTTTTAAAGTTTAAAGATTAAAGTTATTAATACTCTGGTAGGTGATTTGGAGATCTGCTTGTCTAGTGCCAAGAGCTGTAACTCTTTGCTAATGAAATTTTCATCCTATTTCCTGAATTATTGTGTTAATACTAATGTTCAATTAGAATTAATAACGGACCTTGCCTCAGGACCAGAAGTGAATGAAAAGTAGCTTCCAATGAAACTTTAGATTTTAGCATTTCTGTGACTAAATATTTTATCTGCCTGTGAGATTAATCTGTGTGGACACCGTGACCCTTTTTTCTTTAACTCACTTGTCAGAACTTTTGTTGCAGTGGAAACTGGCTGGTTTGTAGTAGTTGGATTGGCAGTTTGGAGAGATGATGTTTGTTGCTCAAACACAATTCTCTGCTTTCATGTTAGTTATCAAAGGTGAATGAGCCGTTCTGTTATTGCTTTTATTACTGCTCCACTCTTGCTCTTTTATTCACTTGTCTTGTTTTAAATTCAGATTGAGCCATCTGATACAGGACTATGTCATCTTGTGTACTTGCACAGAACCTAATACAATGGGGCCTGGTTACTAATTGAAGCTTTTGGGTGCTCACACAGTAGAGATAATTAGTAATAAATGTACAGCTGTAACAGCAAGTAGTGTTCACAGTATGCAATACAATGCATGACCGTTAAGCTTGTATGTGCTGTTTTAGTTCCTGTTGAATGTATTTGAGAAATGATCTTCTGTCTTTGCCTCTGTGGTGTTGCCCAGAGGTGCTCTCTCTATTCTGGTGTAAGTGCTTACGCTGCTAACACCTTAATTAACGGCTTAAAATATAGCCGGTCAGGGCACATCCAAATAATATTCCAAAATTTACTGATCAGCAGTCCACAAGATTTCTCCAAGAAAGCTTGAAGTGTCATCTGGAGGAAACTTAAAGCCTGACGTTAAGCACATGAACTTAGGCTTTTTGAGTTAAACAAGCAAACAAAAGAAACCCCCAACCAACCAACCCCCCTCATTGGTTAATAAATTAATTTTTGCCAAAACCTTTGCATGGTTGCTTATCTCTTTTGCTTCTTGCGCTTTTTCAATTATCAGCTACTTGTAGAATGCTTTTGGTTGTCAGTCCATGCTTGACTAAATTTCTTCTGTCATGTGTTGGTAATAATTAGAATTTGACAAATTTTGTTATTTGGACCACATTCAGGGTTGGGTTTTTTTTTTCAGTAGTTTATTAAATTGGGAGTTGGAGGTGTTTTCAGGCTTTCAGCTTAAAAAAACCCCACAAACTAAATTATCTGCTTTCCTGAAGCAATAGGTTTAAACTGTTAACTGTAAAAAAATTCCTGTTAAAATGTTTTTTTTATAACATCTGTCATGATAGCTTTTTTTTTAGCACTTAATAGAAATCAAAATAGTAGCAATTTAGAGGATATACCTTTAAGTATAATATCTTAACATTGCCTTTGCAGGTACATGATGCTGATTGATGGCAGGAATGAAGTTTATATGATTGATAGAGACAATTCGATTTTTCATGTATCTAATCTGGAATTTCCCTTTCGTAAAGATCTTCGCATACATCTAGCAAACACTCTTCTGGATGGGGTAAGGAGCATACTATGTAATTATTGTAGCAATTTCAGTGCCCTTTGCTTTTGTTCAGAAACAGGGACAAGGTTTTAGACCTGGATCAGTGAATCATAGGATTTCAGGAGTAACATAGATTCAGTCACTGGCTGAATGTGGGAATCGCACTTCGTAAGTCATTTCTTATCTACAGAATAGCAGTGATGACTGCTCTGGGGGGAGCTGTTTGTCTTTGAAATAAATCAAGGCATTGAGATGATGTTCTCTGAATATGAGAAAAGGCTTGAAGAGAATCTAAAGAAATTATTGCAGAACCTTGTCTCTTGCTATAACTTTATATTTTGATACAGTAAACATGGTTAGTTTGATCCAGTGAATGTAAATATTTCTAAAATCTAATAAAATTTGCATCATCTTTTGATAGACTTTTGTGGATTGATGTCTTTGCTTCTGTCACCTTTATTTTCAGCTGATCTGAATTATTGACTGATTTAGAAATGCTTAGTTCTATTTGTTTAAGACTAAAATGTTTCTAAGTTGTCATGCTAATTTAAATTATGTAAATTTGCTAATGAACTTTTTAAGCTAGTTGTAAAACAAGCTGTAAAACATCTGTATTTGGTGTTTGAAGGCTGGCCTGGAGTATTCTTGGTAAACTTCAGAACAGTAGCCACGAGAAGAAATTATTCCTTTCTTGACCTTCCTATTTTACATGAGCAAAAGAACTTCATTAGCTGTTACACTAAATACCTGTCAACATAGATGAATGCAGTTTCCTATCATGTTTTAGTAGTGTTGGAGGCTCCGTACATTGCTCTAACTCTTGCTTGCTGAAATACTGCACATCTGAGATGATCTTCCGTGTTGGTCTTCTGAAGCCTAATGCACCTTTCAGAGATGGGAGGCCATATTGTTGTTGTTAACTATCTTTCTGTTCTCAGGCCTTTGTTGTCAGTATCCTGCTTGAAATGTCACTTCTGTGAATGATCTGTCTTACTGAACATACGTTTACATCTGAAGCATGTATAAATTGACTCTCTGAGGATAATCATTGCAAGTAGCAATGTACTGTCTCAGGGACAGAGAAGCAGATAATGGAATATTTTCTACCACCTCTGCTTCACTGAAGAATTGAGAGCATAATGCAAGAAATGCCATGCTGTCAGCTCAAAAGTGGTTACACAAGCTGTCATGTCTGGTAGGAGCCTCTTCAACCAGGCAGCTTCCTAATGACGTACATAATAATATTCTTAATGACATACATCAGGTTGCATACTGTTGAGATAAAAAGCCTAGTACTATTTTTTTTTCCCCTGCTCTTTCTAAGGCTCTTGAGAAAGTAATGGCTTGCCAGGGTCCATATGGTGCAATCCTAGGTGTTCTTCAGGGAAACTGCTGCTCTTTTTTTTGTTGTTGTGGTGTTGCATTTCAAAACAGATGATTTGGTAAGGGTGGCTAATGTGTACATGGTGGAAGACAGGAATGCGCATATGTTGAGATATGTACATAAATGTGACTATGGAATGTGGGAGAGGAGCTCTGATCTGGTGTGTTGTGTTTCCCAGATTTATAGCTTAAGTCTCTTTAAGAATAAATGAAGTTCTCTCAGTTACCAAGGACATGAACTATAACTTCACTTGATTTTTTTTTTTTGTAAAATTTTGACTGTTATAGTGGATTTTAGTATTTCGATTTATTGGCATAAAATTAGTCTTACTGTGATTTCCCCCCTCCCACTTTTTTTTTCATGAAGTGGAAAGCAAAATGACATTAAATGAGCAAGCACTGATTGAATGAAGTACCTTGAGATAAAACTAGAACCTTTCAATGGATAAATACTTTTCATAGTACAGATTTTAAATTTATTTAAGTAGGGTCATTTAAAAAAAAGCTGTTGATGGAATATTTTTCTTTTCAATTGAAATTCTTTTCAACAGGTTTGAGAATAAAATTTGCCTGTTATTAGGAGCATCAGAACAGCTTAACTTTGTAATTGAATATTTGTTTAATGTTGGTGCCAAGTGATAATTTCCATGACTGTACCTTTACTCTGGATATATGTGTGGGGTTTTTTTGGTGGTGTGGTTTTGTTTTTTTTTTTTTTTTTTTAATCCATGTGAAGAAGAATTTGGCTTCTTTCTGTTAACATATTTTGCTAATTAGTGCTGGAGGGCTGTTGAAGTTAATTCTTTAACTACAGGTGGAAATAGTTCATACTTGCTGCCCTTGAAGTACTGCCCTCTCTTTCAGAGAATGAAAGTATATAATGAGGTGGCCCAATTAGCATTGCTGTACAGTAATCTTAAAAAGTATGAGAAAGAAGTTAAAACAGAACAGAGATATCAGTGACATGCAGCAAAGCAACTACTGGTGTTAAGAATACAAAAGATTAGGTAATTTCCCCTAACTTTATTTAAAATGACAGTGTATATAAAACTTTCATAAAGGCAATTTCCATGAATTCAGTGATCTATTAACTTGCTTTAAGGCTTTTGATGTAAGCCTTTCATGTGGTTGTCTTTGAGAATTTCAAATGCATTTACGGTTCACTTCAGGCTGAAATTACTTGCCAACAGTTCTTACTATGCTCAGTTATGTCTTGGGTGATGAGAGATCTCCTGCAATATCCATGCTCATCTTCAGTTGTGATTGTTCTCCTGGCATGGAAGAATATTTTTTGCAAAGATCATTAAAGCTAATTTGAATATTACCTACAGGTGACTATTATAATATGAAATATTCCTTTAGAAGCCAGGTGTTTTGCATCCATACTGCTTTCTGAGGGAATGCATAGATTTTTATTCAAGTGTTTTGGCTGTCATGCAGGAAAACTAGTTATTTTCAGGAACTTTCTTGGTTTAGCTTTGGAACAGTTGAGTAGAAAATGCAAAGGCATTCTTAGGCTTGAAATACTTTTTACAATTTTAATACAATTTTGTATATATTTTCTTTTATTTATATGTAAAATACTCTTCACACTTGAGATTTAGGAGGGCCAAGGACTCTGAAAGTGGAGAGCAAGATTGAGATTGATTTATGTTTTTGTATTGATACAGACCTCAGTAATTTGTAAGCTCTCTCAGAAATGGCGTAACTTACAACTTTTTGAGTTTGCAGAGGCCGGTACTTTGTGCAAAATAGATTTTAAAGAAAAACAAAACCCAAAACTCTTTTCATTCCTGAAATACAGCAGTGACTAGAACTGCGTTCAAGCTGAACGGAGAAAGGAAAGGCAAGGCAGAGGAGGAGAAGGAACAATAAACAGATGTGTGATTAGATCTGATTCCATACTCTGTGTCAACAAAAATTACATTCTGCAAGTGCCTGGTAAAATGAGATCCTCTGCTTTGTGATTAAATTTTGGATTAATTTAAGTCCAAGTTGCTTGCTAGATATGTGATTCAAGGAAAAAAAAAGGGGTTCATGAGCTGTCAGTCCAGCATTGTTCTTCTGGTACTTGTCCAGCTAAAAGCTCTTAGCACAGTGGCTGTTTCTAATATGCTGTAAGACTATGCTCTGCAGCACCAGAAGATTAAGAAAAGGAGATTAACACCAGCACAGTTTTGCCAGATTACATCGAAGAAACTGGCCATTGGACCTGCAAGCTCACACGTTAAGCTAATACCTAAACTAGCAGCTAATGGACAAGTGGTAAAGATCATACTAGCAGAGGTAATTTTAAAACACGCTATAGTGGCTGTAAATCTACATGGGGTCTATAAAAGGAAATGCATGGATGCAGGTGGATACTTTTGTATTCTATTAGCATGTCATGTGAGTGCTTTTGGGTTTAAGTTTTTCTTTATCTAAAAATTGGTGTAAATAGCGTTATAGTATCAGGTTATTACTCAGATCAGAATGAATGAGTTTGATTGTGATCAGTTCTCAAATACTGCATTTTCCCAACAGTCTCTGAACTTGCCTTTGAGGTCTATTCCCTGAGATATTTTTCAGTTCTCATAATCTCAAGGAAGATTCTGAAATCAGACTGTTAAATAATGATGTGTTAGAGTATTTCCAATCTGAATCGTTCTTATGATCACTTTACAGCTTTTGCCTTATGACAGTTATATTGGCGTAAGTAATGGAGCAGTGAATGTTGTTGTCATGATGGAGATGAGCAGCACAGGAATTTGTCATCTCTACTTCTAAGGCATATTGTGCTATTGTTTATTTGCTCTGGTAGCTGGTATTTCAGTCGGGATGTGACAAGAGAACGAGAGACAGGGGAGGAAGAAAAGAAGTGAGGATGTGAGGAAAGAGGCTAGTTTGACCAGTAATAGAGTCAGAAAGGTTTATACATGTCTGAAGTAGAGAACAAGTTGCTTTATAAAATTAATTCTGTATTAAAACTGAACCTTCCAGAGAACAACCGATCAATCTTGGTCCTCTTGGCTGTATTTTATAATTCTTCTTAAACTGAATATCGAGAGATTCAGATTTTGAAAATTAGGCATAAAATCTTGTAATACCAGGCATTGAAATGTCTTCAGGGCTTTGCATACAAATGCTAGCTTTGCATCAAAGCTGAGGATCTGAATACGTATGCTGAGGAAATGAGTCCTTAAACCTTAAATATATGTTCAATTAAATGTATTTTAAAAATTTGTTTCACCTGCTAGTGCGATTGAAACCTTAAAGAAATATGGTAGCATTCTTTTGTTTCAATTTTACTTTGTTATTCACATCACCTGATTACTGTCAGGAATTATGGGTGGGGTGTTTTTTCACTTATTTTCTGTTTTTCCCCCACATTTTATCTTTACGCACTCTTCCAAGTTAGAACGTCATGCCTTCTTTCTCTCTTAGGGTGTACCTACTCCATCTGTTCTTCTAGTTAGTTACAAAATTTATTGTCAAAGAAGGCATTGCAGCATTGCATCTGCTGTTCCTTTGATAGCTCGCCGGTGTCTTACATAAATATTGGAAAGAAACAAAATGGCATTTTGCTACATCACTTCTATGTCGACTTTTTGCACCAGTTATTTAGTCACAGTACCTGTGACTAAATTATTTTTAGAGTTAAGAATACGATATTGTAATGTTACAAAGAAATATTTTTCACTCATTGAATTACTTTTTTTTATTTTTTATTTTTTTTTAATGATGTGGAAGGATGTGTAAGGTCACTTCAGGTAGTCATTCACAACCTGTAAATGCTGCATTTGGCTGTGAAAGCCCAATCTCTATCGCAGTATTGTGTTCATGGAAGATGAGATTCCAAAATATTAAGTAAGCAACTTATAGTTGCTAATGTTTTTTTGAGAACAGCAGGTTCATGTCTTTTAGTTTAGTTTTAAATGCTTCAAGATTTGTGTTTGCTTTAAAACAAATCTATGTTTTTACAACTGCTTGCTTATTTTTCAGAGCCAAATGTGATTAAATACTAGGTACAATTCAAGAAGCTTGGTATGTGTACACACTGGTAATGAGTCTTAGATTGAGACTCTTGTTTGAGTTTATTCTGTCGAAGTTACGGATTCTAAGACAAGTTAAAAGGTTGTAAAACATAAAAATGCTACTGACCTAGCAAGAAACAAACTAAACAAAATTAATTAGAGTTCATCTAAGGTTCTCTTTTGGAAAATTCTTGAGGTCACAGTTTTGTTTTCATCATGTTACAATGGAATATTTTCACCTTTTCCACTTGTTTTCTCTCATATGTGTGAATTTGGAATTTTAACTTGATATCGGCAGCAAAAAATCCTTAACTGATACAACTAACTTATTAGCCAAGAATTGGACGAGGGGAAGTGGGGCAGGGAGAAGTAAATATTTGAAAGTTGTCTCTGAAAAAGATGTACCAATTGGTTGATTGTTACCATTTTCAATCGTGACTAGTTTATATGAAACTAAATATTCTTCATTTGTTTATCAAACTAATAAACTAGCTAATTCATGTCATAGGAAGCCTAAGTTACAGTGTGTAAGATGTGTATATTTTCATACATACCATTAAGTTAAGAAACACTTTGGATGTTGATCGTTAATAGTTTTTCTTCTAGCTGACATATTTTCAAGATGGTTTACCAGTATATATTGAATGTTAACTAATTTCACGTAATACAAATAGTATATGTGATATTTCCATTTGAAGGAACCCTTCTGTTTAGTCCCAATGCAACATTCAAGCAAATTGCAGATGCCACTGGTGCCTAGGATGCTGTTAACATGAAAAGAGCCAACCTGAGCATAGGAAATGGATGTTAATGCTTGTTCTTTACTTCCTTGCTGTTGTAATTCTTATTGTAGGTGAGATTTCCAAAAGTGCTTGTTTGACTTAGGACTGCAGTTCTTACTGAGGTTTCTAGAAAATCATATTCACTCAGGAAAGGTAGTGATTTTGAAAGCTGTGGGGAAACTAATGTATAAATGTTGCAGATCAGAATGGGGAACCTTAGTACAGCTTCCTCACTTCTTATTTAATGCTTAATGAGAGACATTTAAGGCCATACTGATTTTTTTTATAAACTTGACCTATTGTAAAATCTTTTTCATAATAAAGATGTGGCCAGTGTTTGATTGCATCACACTTACAGGTACGTGCAAAGTATAAATGTGTTGACGTTCTTCTATATGCATGAAACAAATGTAAATGTCATGTCTTTTCTTTTAAGGAAATGATCATCGACAAGGTTAATGGACAGGTTGTCCCTCGGTACTTGATATATGACATTATTAAGTTTAATGTAAGTACTTTCAGTTTTATTGCTTTTTATCATTAGTTATTGATTGCTTTTATCATTAGTTATTGATTCTCATTTCTATTTTAATCTTATTTGTATAAGTAAGAGCTTCAGAGTAAATTTGAACACCAAAATTGTGTCGGTATTTAACTCAATAAGAAGCAATGCATCAGAATTAAGATTGAAAGCAGCCTTATAATAGATGTTGATTTATGTCCACCTGCTCAAGAAAAGATGGTGGTTTGAAACATTCCGCTAAACACTGTTGGAAAATTTCCCATTTCTAAAGCATGTTTGAACTATTTAGGCAGTGAAATTGAAAGGGATTGGAGACGTTAGCCTGTTTGGGATATGCATATACTGTCCTAGCCAAATAAGACTTTTTGAAAGTCATAATTATTTTGGTGAAACATTTTTGGGGTGAAAGGGGAGGAAACCTTAATTTGTAGCAAAGTATCCAGACTTGGCATGAAGGATCCCACTTGAGAAACAGGAAAAATGATCAGAGGGTTTTCAGGAGGTTGTTAAGGTTTGGCAAAAGTCTACTTTTGAGCAGGGCTGTAAATACTTTAAAGCTTGTTTGGGTTTGTTTGTTTGTTCGTTTTTTGAATCCACTGGGAATGAGAGAGGACTTAGTTACTACATAGTACTATTTTAATGTCAAGGACAAATTAAGATAGTGTTATCAGTATGAATACAAGCTGGGCTTCAGCTGCAAGAAGTCATTAGCAATAGTCCTACTACAAAGATTAAAAAGCACAGTGGATTTTAGGTTAATTTTAGAAATTTAATTACAAAAATGGGCACCTGAGGTTGTTTGGCTTGGCAAGAAATGATCAACAGAATTTTATCACCAAGAGAGGTGTATTTATTAAAAAAATTGTAATTGGCAAGCAAGGATAAGTTCTTTTTTAAGTTGTGTAAGTTAGACTTGTGTAGATTTTTCCTAGCAGAGCTTCAAATCAAATAATTACACAAAGCATCGGTCCTGTTTAAAAACGAAATATTCCCACTGCTTCCGAAAGAAACAACCTCGCACTCCAAAAAAAACCCAACCAAAAACCCACAACAAAAACCCCGAAACCAGCCAAACAATCAAACAAAAAAAAACCCCAAACCCCACTCCAAACCAACCTGACAGACAGCTCTATGAGGTGATCTGGAATTCGACATTGCTCCTTTTGATCTAGAAACTAGTTGTGTCTTCTGAAAGTGGATGGTGGAGTTACTGTACTCCCTGTCCGTCATATGAGTTACAAAATTTCCAGCACGTCCCTCCTCATCCTCCACAGGGACTTGGCATACTCTGTTGTTAGAGATGTGACATTGCAGCTGGGGAAATGTGAATACAAACCCTGTTGATGAACACCTTTGCCCAGGCAAACCTCATGTTTTAGTGAGGTCTAGTGAATTAGAGATATTTTCAGCTGACGTTGTTTTCAAATGCTCAACCTGTTTTGCTGGCTAAGCGTTATAAAGTTTTCTGGCTTTGTCAGAATATTCCTTCTGAAATATTGTATTCACAAATTCCACATTAATTCCCAAAGACTTATGTGCACTATGAATACTGCTGAGAATTTGTGTGTTAGGATGACCGGTACTAACAGAAAAATACAAAAGTTAGTACTAAAATAGGGTAATATGTGGTTTTTCAGAATGCACCATGTATTTATGGTAAGATTTACGTCAACGTGTGCCCCTCAGGATGACTGTAAATAGTACAGTGAAAACTGTTAATATGTATATGGAAAAATCATAAATTAAACTTTAGATCACAGCAAAATAATGCCATATAATTAAAATTTTCCAAATGTCATTTACTGTAATATCACATTGAACTATTCTCAGTATATTTGGCCAGCATTATTGTTGTGCTTCAAAAATTGCAGTGTACTCCATTCTTGTATTTATTTTAGTTCTTCATTATCTTGGTTTTAGGGGGCTGAACAGTGTTAAAATTCGTGTTTGGAAATGTAGCAGTTTAGACAACCTGATCTCTCTTCAACCCCATATTTCTCTGGCTTTTAGGAAGGGAACATGTAGGCCGGAAGACTGTGGGCTTCATTTAAGCATCAATGCTTAGCCTGGCTTCTCTGTGTCTTAAGTTAAATAAATACCATCACCACTGTTGCCTTTTATAAGCAGAAATTATGAGAGGGTACAGTTATTCTTAGAGCTGTGTACTTAAAGTTTCAGCCTAAAAGCCAAAGATCTATAACTAAAACCAAAAGATCTATAAATAGTTGCGTTCAATTTGTCCCTTGCAGCTCTGGCATTTTAAAAGTTAAGTGTTTAAGAGACCGATGTCAGTTTGAGATTTAAGAGAAGCAGCGGTCTGCTAGTAACAGATCAACAGGGAATAAAAATAACAGTTTTCATTTTATGTACAATACTATCATTTTGGGAGAACATCATGGAATCACGGAGCTGAGTGTCTCAGTACGTCATGGGATCTTTCTTCAGACTTAGTCAGGATTTCACTGAGCATGGCCCAGAGGAGGTAAGGAGATCACCTTGAATAAGGATGATGTGTTCATCGTGAGAGGATAGTAACAGAAACTTAACAGTGAATAGAGGCTAAAGAAACAAATTAAAAAGAATAGTAAGGGAGAAAAATGAGACAAAATGAGTGGGCAAAAACCTACTTTTTACAAATTTTAATCCACATTGTTATCAGTGAGGCTTATTGTTACTTTGTGTTTTGATTTTGCTGTGGTGTATGAGGAATAATCTACAGCAGTCTTCTACAAAGAACCTAAGGAAACTAAGAGAAAAGACTGATTGAAATACGTAGTGTGTATTTGACTCTAGATGTCTACGCAGGAAAAGTCTTAGGAAGAAGGAAAAATAAAAATAGAGTTACAGTGATTGGGAGAGACCTATACTGGAGTTCTTAGGGAAAACATGGAAATAATCTATCTTGGCTGTCTCTTTCCATGATAAATTTTATATTGAATTCTGTTGCTTATCACCTATAGCTGCTGTAGAAGTCAGTCTTCAGGAATGCTGATGGAACCCTTTGACTTCATTTCTTTTAATCACTCTTTCTGTGACATCTAGTTTCTAGAAGCTTGTGGTAATGCATCCCATTGTGTTACAAGAGATGCCTTTGTCAGGAAGAACAAATGATTCTTCAGGAGATTGAAAAAAGATATTTTTTTTATGGTTGTTTTCTTCAGTTTGAATTATGATGTTTATTATTAATAACAGCTTAAAATATGACATTGCTGAAATCAAATTTGTAGAAAGGAAGCTAGCCTAGTGAAATAAGCCTGCCTTTTGACCTCAACTCTTTGAGGAAACCCAGAGCAATCCCTGCTTTTTCTTTTCTGCTTCGCTTAGTTCTTTCTAGAAAGAGCAACTCGGAGTATGTAAATTCGTCTCTCAAAGCCCATTCTGAGAGGCTGCATACATGTACACTAATAAATGAAATGGTGCTAAAGGGCAGGATCCTGGAACTGAAAATGTATCCTCTTTTTAAGTAGTTAAAATAGTCCCTGGACAGTTTTGGCCCTGGCTGGCTACAGTGGAGTTGTCAAGAATAGTTTAACATTGCTCAGGGACCATTCTTATCAGGTGTTGTGAGATGTCGTCATCCTCTTTCGGAGAGCGAGAGTATGAATGTGGTCAGCCAGCCAGTGGCTTCAGGGGCAGAGATGAAACCTTTGCCCTTTTGGTTCACCAGTATAGATGTACCCAGAGTGTCTTCTACTTGAGACTTGGGGCTCACCTTTCTGAAGTTCAGAAAGTGCTGTTTTGTGAAATATGAGATATTCTGCTATGAATGTGCTTTTAGGGGCTTAGGACAGAGGACATGAAAGCTCCTTACATGGAAAAGAAGAGAGGGAATAAGGTGGAATAAAAAATAGCAGTCTGTCATGACATACAGCAGAATTCTGTTGGGGAGGTTAAAAGAAGATCCAAGGAGAATGAAAACTAGTATGCCACTTCTGCTTGTCTATGGAGAAGATGGAACCAATATGGGAAAGATGTCATTATCATGTCCAGTCACATTTGGCATGTGAAATGTTTCTAGAAGTAGAAATCAATTGTAACACAGTTTATCTTTTCTTACAGCCTAAATGGATTTTTTTTTTTCTAAGAAGAATCTTTTTCTCATTGAAAAATGACAAAGTCTTTCTTAAAAATGAATGTATTTATTTAGCTTTTAATATTCTAATTGAGTTTTTTGTCCACATTTATGTCAGTGGTTATGTGTGCACTCTGCACATGTGAAGTCTGGATTTTTCATATTCCTGTGAACATAAAAGGCTAATGGCACCCAACATTCCTTATGGTGTTTAGTCTTAATGAGTACAGAGGTAAATGCCTACAATGCCTGTTACTTTTTGGCTTTCTGATTTGTGTCTGTATGTAGCTGAGTTTATTAGTATAGTAACTGTAGCTCTATAGCACTAACTCTTTCACCTGAATAGTGAATACAAAGTTCAAATTTGGTCAGTAATTCTAGTGTAACAGAGGAAGCTGACAATGGAGTAATTAATAGTCCCAGAAGCAAATACAAGTAAATCCAAATCCCTCTTCATCACAAATGATCCACAAAAGAACATGTCTTCGTTCTCTAGTCATCTTTGAGACAGCTCTTCCTGTGAAACCTTTTTTTGAGAGGCTTTTTCTTAGGTCACATTCAATAGCAACATGTAGATGTATAGACAGCAAACTTAAGCAACTGTTTTTTTCCTTAGTTAAGTACTAAAAAGTAACGCTGGCATAATGTAGGAGCTAATGAATGCGTTCTTAGCAAAGACACTGAAAATGAATAGTACTTTCTTTTTCCTTTCTAACCCTGGCCTTTAAATTTTTAAACTCTAGCCAAGTTTTCATGAGACCAGATTGCAATGGTAAGAGTGTTTGAAGAAGTATAATTATTTTAATGTTTGGAAAGGAGATAGGCTTTTGATTAAATTTCCTAATACTCTGTGCATTAAATTAAGTCAAGATCAAGATTTCTGTGGTTGTCATTATGCAGAGTAGCTGTAGCT